ACTCTTTTGGTGTGGGCTTGAGGACTCTCTTGGATGAGGGTTTGGAGGTGAAAGCTCCTTTTCCTCGGGCTGAGCTGCTCTGAGCCATGTGCTCACTGTGATGTGCACACCCCTTCCCACGCTCTCTTGGGCTTGGAGGGATTTCACTGCAGCAGCGCTGAGCAGAGTGAGGTGGTGGCACTCACCCCAGCTGCTGGCAGGGATTATTTCAGTCGTTGCTGTTTGATTTCCCTCCTTGGCATTGGTCTGTGCAGGAGGCAAAGGAGCTGGACAAGATGAAGTCAGCCATGCACAAAGGACAGGTGCTGCTGAAGAAGAAGGAGGAGAAGCTCAGCCAGCTGGAGTGCTCGCTGCTGGAGGAGGTAAACTCCTGGTGCTGGCAGCAGAGCTGGATTGTGGATCCATTCTGTGTGAGAGCACCGGAGGCTGCTGAGTGTGTGGCTGCAGCTTGGAAAGGCTGCATGGATTGAGCCTGGAGAAAATGGGCAGGTGACCTCCTGTGAGCTGGGATGGAGCCTGCTCTCCTGACCAGAGCAAACCTTGCAGCCTTTGGCTCTGCCATGAGCCTCAGGCAGGGCAGCAGCAGCTGCAGCAGAACCAGCGCTTTGCTGGTCAAACTGCTGCCCTTGGCACAGAGAGCCCAGGCCTGCAGGAGCTGTGGGGTTATTTACAGCACAACCCTCCTGCTTCACGTGGTGCTGCCTTTGGCCTCTGCACCCTGAGAGCCAGAGCAGTCTCTGGGCAGTCAGGCTGTGCTGTCAGGGGCTGGAGATGAGTTTGCCTTCACTTGACCTGTGCCTGACTGCAGCCCAGCTCTGCAGGCAGATTTCCAGTGGCTTTTGTGTTCCAGGGATGATGCAGCAGCTTTTACTGGCTTTGTTTTCCTGCTCCTGAGCAGCTCTCAGATGAGGACACGCTGAAGAGCTCTGCGTGCAGGAAGGTGGTGACGTTTGATCTGAGCTCCTCTGAGGACACAAACAGCACGGCCAGTGTGAACCTGGGCCAGCCCAGGTGTAAGTGCCCAGCATGGGAGGCTGCAGGCCTGCTCTGCCTTTCCCTCTCACCTCTCTGCTGTGTCCAGGGCAGGTCTGGCACTGCTCTGTGTCCCACCCCTGGTTGCAAAACTCATTTCCTGCCTTAGTGGCCGATAAGAGGGATGGGATCTGTGGGTGAACCTGCATGTTAGATCTCTGTGGATTATAAAAGCTCTCAGGTTTCCCTCTGATCCTGCAGATCTCTATTGCTCTTCTGCAGGACTCTGGGCTTCCCCTTTCTCCCACCACGGCAGGAGAAGCTGCTGCCACTCCCTCTGTGCTGCTCTGCTTTCTCTTGGGCTGTGCTTGCCTGGAGTGGTGCTGGGGGAGGAAGGGCAGGCAGGCAGCAGGGCTGGTTCCTTGCACACGGGCTGCTCCTGTCAGGGCTGCTCTCTGATCCCTTCCTTCCCCTTTGTTCCTCCAGCTGACCTGAGGGTGGATGTGTGGCCCGTGCTGCAGCAGGACAAGATCCAGCACCTGAGGGACTCGGTGCAGAGCATCACCAGCGAGCTCAGCGGGGTCCTGGGGCTCCTGGACTCCCTGAGCCAGCAGCAGCCCCCCCTGCTCACCTCCACGCCCCACCAGGGCATCCCCCTCCCCAGCCACCCCTCCTTGGCCGGCCTGGGGGGCAGCAGCTCCCTGGGGAACCCCCCCAGGGTGTCCCCCCTGCACCAGTGGGGCCGGGGCAGCAGGGCCAGCTCCAGTTACCCCATGCCAGGGCAGTCAGTGGACAGCATGCTGGCAGAGAAATGGCACAGGTATTTCCCAGGTGAGTCTCCTGGCCTCACCCCACCTGCTTTGCTTCCAGGGCTGGGGAGCACTGGTGCTGCTTAGGAAGGGTGCTAAGGGGATAAGGGATGAGCAGCTCCCTCCAGAAGTGCAGCATGGGGCTGATCCTGTCCTCCTGCTCTTTAATAACCAAAGGAGCAGCAAAGGAGGAGCTAGCCCTGTCCCCTGTGGCACCAGGGGTCTCCATCTGTGTTCTTGGTGTCCTTGTGGGGCAGGAGAGCACACCCAGGCAGAAATGTGGATTTTTGGGCTCTGTGTTTCATGTCTGTTTTTGCCGAAATGTGGAATTTTGGGGCTCTGTGTTTCATGTCTGTCTTGCAGAAATGTGGATTTTGTGGGCTCTGTGTTTCATGTTTGTTTGGGAGGCAGAAATGTGGATTTTTGGGCTCTGTGTTTCACGTCTGTCTTGCAGAAATGTGGATTTTGTGGGCTCTGTGTTTCATGTCTGTTTTTGCCGAAATGTGGAATTTTGGGGCTCTGTGTTTCATGTCTGTCTTGCAGAAATGTGGATTTTGTTTCATGTCTGTTTTGCAGGTGGGTTCTCGTGGCTCGGTGGGACTCCTGTGCCCCTGGACACCAAGCTGGGCTATGTCCCTGCAGAGTAAGGACTTTTCCCTTGAGTTGCCCTGTGCTGCTTTGTTTCTCTGCACTCATTATTGGTCACTCCTCACATAACCAGTAGATTACAATTTGGTAATTACTGTGAACTATTTATTAAGGAGAAAAGGTGAATTATCAGTAGATATATTAGAGGAGGTGTTTTTTCCTTCAGCAGCCCATCACTTTCTCATCTCTGGGATAATTTCTTCCCAGCCCTCTTTTTTCCACACTTACCCTCTCTCTCTCTGCCACAGTGAACAAATCAGGCTCTTCCAGCACTCCAAATTCAGTGAGCCCGAGACAAGGAATATTGAGGGGATGATTGAGAGCAACAAGAAATGGCTGAAAGGCTTCAAGAAGGATTCCAAAGTGTATCTTTTACCTGGCTCTGGTCTTGAGTTGCATTCCTGCTTCCTGCAGGAGGTGGGAGGAGGGTGGCAGGAGGGGTGTGAAATGAAGAACTGAGCAGCAATTTCGAGGCCTTGCCCTCTGTTGCAGTGCCTGGTGCTGCAGGGGTGTTTGGCAGATGGAGCAGGAGTGATCTGAGTGCTGCTGTCTGGGCTGTACCTGAGTGAGGGAGTTTCCCTTCCTTTCCCTGTGTTGTGATGCTCTTAAGGGATGCTGCTCAGCCATAGAGGAGCAGTTGGAGCTGGGAATGTGAAGATTTAGAAATGTGGAAGTTTCCCTTCCTTTCCCTGTGTTGTGATGCTCTCCAGTGATGCTGCTCAGCCATAGAGGAGCAGCTGGAGCTGGGAATGTGAAGATTTAGAAATGTGGAAGTTTCCCTTCCTTTCCCTGCGTTGTGATGGTGTTCAGTGATGCTACTCAGCCACAGAGGAGCAGTTTGGGCAGGGCATGTGAGGATTTAAAAATATGGGTTTAAACAGTGCAGAGTGGAGGGTGAGGTGGGCAAGAAGGGGGTCTGGCTTTGCAGGGCTGCTTCTGGTGCCATGGATGGAGCCCTTGGCATGGGCAGGGCCTGCTGGGCAGCCTGGAGGAGGTGAGGGCACCTGGAGATGTGTGGCTGGGCCATGGTGGGGCAGGGAGGGCTGGGCTCTCTCCAGCTCTGGTTTGAGGAATCCTGTAGCACAGGGCTGGATGCAGGCAGCAATACCTGTCTGTGCAGAGACCGGGGATGCTCCCAGGGATGCTGTGCTGGGGCTCTGGGTGTCTCCTCAGTGTACACTGATATCAGCAGCACAGCTCCCTGCTGCCCTGAGCGCGGTGTGCCTCTGAATTCCCTGATCCCCCCCTAATTCCCTTTGCCTGGGATGGAGCATGGCCTGTGTGCTCTGGGCTGGCTCAGTACCTGTCCTGGCTGGGCTGGCCCTGCTGTGAACCAGGATTTTCCTTCACCCAGCTGCCAGAGCTCTCTCCCCACGGGCAGAGCAGCCCCCGGGCAGCAGCCCCAGCCTCCTGCAGCTGGGGCTGGATGAGAACAGAGAGATCAAGGTGTACCACTACTGACAGGTGGGCTTCTCCTCTGCGGGGATGGTGGGCTGGGGGCCTGGGCAGGCTCCCCACCATGGGCTGGGCTTTGGGATCCCCACCTGGCACCTCCACTGTGTCTGTGGCCGTGTCCTTGAAACTGGGTGTTTCTGCAAGAGAGTGGAGGAAGGGGCAAATAGAACTTCCCAGGCGGGTTCTTCTAATCCTGTAATGTGTCCAAATATGCTTTATAGACTGTTTAATCCAGCAGTGACATATCAGGGCTTCAATAAATCAACACTGCCCTCATTGGTATTCCAGCGATGGCAGGGCAGGGCTGTGAATCACAGAGGATTGGAGTTAACTGGTCAAGCGGGAGGATGTGCATCCAGCTGGGGCCCTGCTGGAGGAAATGGGTCAGGGAACGAGCCTGCCCCATGCCCAGCAGTGCTTGGTGGCAGGTGGGCAGTGCCAGGCGGCCCCCGGCACTTGGGAGCAGCAGGATGGGGGAAAAATCAGGGAATGGCACATGCTGGCTCCTGGGGAATTTCTGCTTGTTTGGGGTGGGAGATATGGGAGCTGAGCCAAGAGTGGCAGGTCTGGAGGAGCCCTCCCTGCTCCTCTCATGCCAGGCTGGCCAGAGCTGGGCAGCAAAGCAGCTGCTGCAATTCTGTCCTGTGATGGCAGCAGGAGCAGAGAGGTGAGCCTGTGAGGATTTAAAAATATGGAAGTTTTAAGAAAAATTATGGAATAGTTTTAAAAAATATTTTAAAAATATTTTAAATAGTTTTTAAACAAGTTTTTAAACTATTTAAAATAGTTTTTTAATATTTTTTTTTAATATGGAAGGATTTAAAAATATGGGAGCAGGACACGGGGAGGGTCTGTGAAACAAAGCAGCTCCATCCCTGTGATGGCAGCAGGAGCAGGATGGTGGCAGGACATGGCAGGGTCTGTGCAGCTGCTGGTGCTGTGTCCCCTGATGGCAGCAGGAGCAGCAGGATGGTGGCAGGACACAGGGAGGAGCTCCTGTGGGTGCTGGGCATCCTCCATGGTCCCTCCATCCATCCCTTGGTGGGAGAGGGATCCAGCTCAGCAGCTGGGATCGCCTTCATGCACATGTGGGAGCCCCTGCCATGAATGCTGGAGCCCAGAATTGCTTTTTTTGCCCCGGAATTGCTGCTCCTGCAGCAGATCCATGGGGATCAGGGCTGTGGGAGGTGGCTGAGGAGTTGGGATGGGCAGCTCCTGGAGCGGCTCCTGGCTCTGCTCACCACGTTCCCCTGGGACACATGCAGAGGGTGTCCCAGCCAGCAGGGATGCTTGGGGCTGGGAGGGGAGGAGCCAGGCTTTCAGGGCACGTGCTGTTTGGTTGTTTGTCAGTATTTGCTCCGAGCTGACTGTGAATATTTGATGCTTTAAGAAGCTGCGGAGCCGCTCGCCCGTCAGGCTGCCAAGGACGCTGCGCTGCAAGGAGCCCATCTGTGAGGAGCCATCTTCAAAGCCTTTCTCCTGACACAGCTGCTGGGGGAGGCTCTGGAGCTGCTGCCCCACATCCCTGTGCTGTGAGAGCCCCTCGGCTGGGTGAGGGTGCCCTGCTGTGCTCCCTGCACACACCCTGAGCCTGGCACGGGCATGTTTACATGCAAATACAAATATGGAAATATATTTTTGATGAACACCATTTTGAAACTCTCTTAAGAATGTATTTATTTTATTTTTCCTTGCTGTTTTTCTAGAGTTTTTGTAATTGCTCATGAATAGCCTTATTCCTTCCTAGGAAAGGAGGGATCCAAGCACAGATATCCCCTCTGTTGCTGGATTGCACAAAGCCCTTCCTGCAGGGATTTTGCTCTTAGTTTACTGCATACTCAGAGGACACAGGGCAGTACTTCCAGTCAGGGGTTTTAGAGGGGACCCCACAGCTGTGGTTGCTGTGGCCCAAGCCATATCACTGAGTCCATTCTGTGTTTTGGGAGCAGCATGCATTAATGGTGCGGGGAAATGCCATTTTTTAAACAATAACTCGGTTTGAAATATGCTCCTTTTTCCTGTTAAAAGCCGGGATAGCAGCTGTATCTGGTTTTGTATAAATTAAATCAACATGAGCCTGTTTTGTATGATGCTGGTGGTTGTCACTGTGTTTTGTTGTAGCTGGGTACCCAGCTGTACTTACCTCTCACATCTCCCCCTGTCTCTGGGCTCTCTCATGTTTTTTCTTGTCAAGGTCACTTCTGGCAGTTCCCAAGACCACTTAACTCGCTGGGGCTTTGTTACCATTATTCTTTTAAGTGTCTGGACAGGGTAGCAAACGCAGAGGCAGAGAGAAGAAAGCTGAAAAGCAAAACTACAGAACGCAAACAAGGCATCGCTCTGGCAGCCTGGCACCTGTGAAAGATGTCTCACTGCAGCTTGGCTGGGGCTGCTGCTTTCTCCTGGCTCTGGGAGCAGCCAGGAACTGTCCCAGCAGTGTGCTGGGTGCTGTGGGACCTCTGAGTAACGCTGAGTAACCAGGAGCTAGGGAGGCTTGGTGATGTGTTCTTCTCCTGCTCCCATCTGCTGCTCACCTGCCAGCAGCCTGTGGGAGCTGGGGAGGCACAGGGGGAGCAGGGTGTGCATCAGGTGGGGCACAGAGTGTGCATCCAGGTGAGGGGTGTGCATCAGGTGAGGCACAGGGGGCACAGGGTGTGCATCAGGTGGGGAGCAGGGTGTGCATCAGCTGCTTGGGCACAAATGGAGGCTGTTAGTTTCATCCTCAAAAAGAAAACAAACCACCTCCAGGCTTTTTTGCTCCCGTTGCTGCTGTGCCTGATGTGTCTTTGCCCTCTGGAGAGCTGGGTAGGAGCTCTGGAAGTAGCACAGTGTCCAGGCAGGCACTGCTGGGGACAAGGCTCCCACCCCAATGCTGAGCAGCTCAGGGAGGTTCTGGGACATCCCAAATCCCAGCTGGGGTGTGAGGGGCTGTGACCCTGCTGAGGTGGTGCCCAGGGAGCGGGTGTGGGCTGGGCTGTCTGTCCCTGCTCCTGGAGCAGAGGATTTGCCTTTCCTGGAATGCCAGCGCTGTCTGTTGGAGAAACTCTGCGATTAGGAGAGCAAAAGGGCAGGGCCTGATTACTTCACAGGCTGAGCAGGGCTGTAAGCTCATTAAGGGGCTTGGCCTGTGCCTGCCCAGGAGGCACAGCTCAGTGCTGCTGCTGGAGGTGCTGGAGTGCTGCTCGCAGAGCCCCCCAGCCCTGGCCATGCTGGGCACCCTGATGACAGCGCTGTTCTTCGTGGTGAGGGTGGTCAGGCAGGTGAGTCCTCCCAGAGGGAGCTTCTATTGCTGCAGTGCTGTGCTCACCTGCCTGGGGTGGGCAGAGGGGGCAGCAGCTCCTGCCTGCCCTGCTGGGAATGGCTGCCGTGCTCCTAAAGCACTGTTCTGCTCCTAAAGCACCTGGGCAGGAGTGTGGGAGCACTGTGGGCTCAGTATGGGTGGGCAGGGCTGGGATCTCTGGTCCTGAGCAGCTCTTTCTGTTCCTCTTCCTCTCCTGTGCTCCTCCCTGCTGGAAAACCTTCCCCGTGTGCAGCTGGGGACCAACCTGTTCCGTGAGGAGCCCCTGCCCTACCTGGTGTACCAACCCCTGCCCTGGCAGATCCAGTGCGTGTCCCAGAGCCGCCGCACCAGCCGGGACAGCGAGGTGAGGGAGGCTGGCACAGCTGGCACAGGGAGGGGAGGGAGGATGGCACTGCCAGGACAGCCAGGTGAGGTGAGGGATGCTGGCACTGCCAGGACAGCCAGGTGAGGGATGCTGGCACTGCCAGGACAGCCAGGTGAGNGGCACTGCCAGGACAGCCAGGTGAGGTGAGGGATGCTGGCACTGCCAGGACAGCCAGGTGAGGGATGCTGGCACTGCCAGGACAGCCAGGTGAGGGATGTTGGCACTGCCAGGACAGCCAGGTGAGGTGAGGGATGCTAGCACTGCCAGGACAGCCAGGTGAGGTGAAGGCTGCTGGCACTGCCAGGACAGCCAGGTGAGGGATGCTGGCACTGCCAGGACAGCCAGGTGAGGGATGTTGGCACTGCCAGTACAGCTGGCTCAGGGGGTGGCAGTGCTGCTGCAGGGGCAGCTGTTAGCCAGGCACCCTGGAGGTTTAGGCAAGGGGGAAATGTAATGCCAGGAGGGCAGGGTAAGCTGGCATTTGCAGACAAATTCAAGCTTATTTTTAGAAATGGAAATTTCCCCTGGATGACCTGGCAGCCCAGGAGGTTCATGGTGTAGGGGCTGTCTCCTTACTGGTTTGAAATGCAGATCCAGTGAGGATATCCTGTGCCAACATCCATCCGTGGGCTGCAGCATCTCACTGCTCTGGGTTTGGATGCAGAGCTGTTTCCTGTCTCTCCTTGGAGGTCATTTCATAAATGCAGATGAATTAATCAGTGCTCTTTAAGGGAGCAACAGTGAGCATGTTGCAGTTTCCTGAAGGGAATGGAGAGTGGAAGGGTTCCTGGCTGGCCTGAAAGTTACTGCCCTCACTGCCTCTGCCTGGGATAGAACTAACTTTTATTTTATTTCTCTACCTTCCTAGAGAGGCAGGAACTCCCGGCACAACAGCATCTACTCACTTTCTGGAGAGAAAGGTGAGTGTGGCACAGGTAGGAGGCAGGGAAAAACCCCAATAAACACAAGTAACAAGTGGAACTCGTGGCTGGGGCTGTGGATGCAGCAGGAGAGCAGGCATTGCAGTACCTGCATCCTTCTTGGTGTCTTTCTCCTTCCCATTCTTCTTGGCCTCTTTCTCCTTCCCCAGATCAGTCTCTGACACTGTTGAGGGGTATTTGATGATGATATGTTTGTTAGTGTATGCAGCATCAGCCAGTGAAGGTGCCAGTGCTGCAGGGCTGAATTTATACCCCAATGTGTCTGTGCAGACCCCGGCACCCCTGGAAACCTGCTCCATGACTCAGCTGGGGCCCTGCTGTCCCATGAAGCATCTCCTTTCTCCTGCTTCTGGGGGAACCACCTGGCATTCCCCCCTCCTCTCTTTGGGCCTGTCTCGAGGCCCTGCAGTGCTCAGCAAAGAGGATTTGAGCCCTTCTATTCTCAGTGCTGAGCGGATCACGGGCTGGGGGTGCCACCCTCCCCACAGCCAGGAGCTCTGCCCAGCCTGGCTGGGGCCTGGGGTTCACTGCAAATAGGGGCAGCTCTGGGGTGCCAGGGGCAGGTGAGCCCCTCGGGCAGGTGAGCTCCTGGCACAGCTGCATGACCAGGGCTCACCCTGCCAGTGCTCAGCCTCTGCCCCCTGGGCAGGGTTCACAGCTGGCTCTTGTTGAGCAGGGCAGGGAGGAGCCCACTCCCTCCTTCACTCATCCTTTTACTCTGCAGTTTCTCTGAGGCAGGGAAGGGAGCTGGTTCAGGTGGCAGCGTGAGTTTATTCAGCAGCATCTGGCCCCAGGATTGCTGATGGCTGCTCGGGGGGTGCTCAGCGGTGACACAGTGGCTTAGAGGAGCACCGCTGAGTGCCTTTGATGCAGTTCCTGTTGAATTTCACAATACTTCCCTAATGCCACATTAGGCAGGAGTGGGGAGGGCTCCCATTTGTCAGCGTGAGAGCTTTATTGCTGCACGGGGCCGGGCTGGCTCCTAATCTTATTTGTGTGTGCGAAAGTAAGTGAGCATCCTACGTGCTGATTAAACGTGGGGAAGCTGCTGCCGTGGGGACTGGGGCTGGGTAAATAGAGGGCTTAGCCCTGCCAGGGAGGCTGGGCTTTGCTGTGCCTCCTGCTCCCTGCTCCTCCTGCCCTGGGATGTCCCTGGGAGCCGGCAGAGCTGTGGTTTCATGCTGTGAGCCCTGCAGCAAGGACAGCTGTCCTGTCTGGGGAATGGGGAGGCCACTGACCCCGTGGGGGTGATGCCAGAGCCTGTTCAGGGCTGCTGGCACTGTCTGTGCTCACTGTGATGCTCTGTTTGCCCCCCAGGTGACGTGAGCCCCGATGGCAGCAAGGAGAGCAAGGTCACTGACCCATCTGAGAGGGCAGCCATCACCATCCAGACCCACTTCAGGAGGTACCAGCAGCAGAAGCAGGAGAAGAAGTAGCCACAGCAGCCCCCTGTGGCCTGCCCTGTCCCTCCTGTTTGTGTGTTCTGTACCCCAGAGGCGTTTGGGGCCGTGGTGATTGTGAGCCTGCCCCCCGTACGTAGCTCCTGCTGCAGGTGTAGGTTCCTGCCCTTGTGCTGGTGCTCACAGGGAGTTCTCTGTCCTGCTCAGTCCTTCCCCAGACAGCCTCACTTCGTGGGCCAGGCCACAGCTGCTGGGGACAGGGCACACAGGTGACAGCACACCTGGCAGCTTGGCCAGCGCTTGGGTGATGCTGTGAGCCCCAGCAGCTGTGGGGGTGGGAGGGGGTCTGCTTGTGCAGGCTGGCCCCTGCCCAGCTGGGGCTTGTTTGACCCCAAGGACCCTCCCCTGTGCCTCCAGCTCCTCCACTCTGCCTCTGGAGCTGGGTGGAACAGTTGCCTTTGTCCCCTGCTCTGTGGGGCCAGCCTGGGGTGGGGCATTGCCAGGGGAACGTGCTGCAGGTGGGGAGGGGAGCAGGAGGTGAGCTGGGAGCTGCTTTTACCTTTCCTTGGGGTGTCCTGGTTCCAGAGCAGGGCCTCTCTGTCCTGAGGGGGACCCCCCTTTCCTTCCCCTGGCAGCCCCCTGGCA